TATTTTATTCAGATCAGAAAATTCAAATCAAATCAGATAAGAAAGATTCAGATGAGATCAGAAACATTCAGATCAGATCAGAAAGATTCAGATTAGATCAAACCAGATCAGAAACATTCAAATCAGATCAAATCAGAAAAGTTCAAATTATAATTATTATTATTATAATTATTAAATTATAATTCTTAATAATAATATATTAATAATAATCTTATATTAATAAAAATAATAATAATAATATAATAATAATAATAATATAAATAATCATAATATAATAATAATAATAATATAAATCATTTTAATAATATATTATAATAATAATATCATTATTATATTATAATAATAATATTAATATTATTATTATTATTATTGTTTTTATAATAAATCATTTTATTATTCTTATATTATTATTATTATTAAATGATAATTACTATTACAATTATAATGATAATAATAATTATTATTAATATTACTATTATTATTAATATTATTATTATACGGAATAATTAAAATTATAGTTAAAATTATAATTATAATTATTGAGAAAATGTTATAATTATATTTACAATTATAATTGTATCTATAGTTATAATTAGTGTAATAGCTAAACTTTTGTAATTTTAAATTTAATATTAATTATTTTTATATTTTTTATAATTATGACTATAATGATAATTTTATTTAAATTATATTTTTAATTATAATTATAATATAATAATTATTATAATTATAATTATAATTATAGAAATATTCGAATCAGATCAGAAAGATTCAAATTAGATCAGAATGATTCAGATCAGAAACATTCAGATCAGACCAGATCAGAAAGATTCAGATCAGATCAGAAAGATTCAGATCAGATCAGAAAGATTCAGATCAGATCGGATCAAATTAGAAAGATTTAGATCAGATCAGAAAAATTCAAATCAGATCAGAACTTAAAAAATTCAGATCAGAAATATTCAGATCAGGTGAAGAGAACAACTTCTAAATCAATTATTTTCTCTACCAAAATGAGGTAGTTACAGTTGACTTCAAAATTTCTTTGATTGTAGCATGCTCTAGTTTAAGGTAATAGAGCAAGTATGATTTGATTTAGAAAGTATAAATATTTGTTATATGGAAAACTGTCAATTTGATCCTTGTACTGTCATAAAAAATCAATTAGGTCTTCCTACTTCAAAAAACTCAGTCAAATTCCCGAATTTTGAAAAAAAAATGTTCAATTGGGTCAATTAGTAGGTTACCCACTACGTCAGCAAGTCACCCGCTGACGTGGCACACATGTGGCAGCCTAGTCAACAGTGACTTTGTTGAGGTGGCACACACGTGGAAGCCCAGATAGCCATTTCCCAATGACGTGGCGCACACATGGACCGCCACGTGTGCGCCATGTCAGCGGATAACCTACTGACATGGCAGATAACATGCTAATTGGCCCAATTGATTTTTTTTTCAAACTCTGGGATTTGATTGATTTTTTTGAAGTATGAGTACCTAATTGACTTTTTTCATGAGAGTACAAGGTCCAAATTAACAGTTTTTCCTTTGTTATAAAATTTTTACAATGAAATGTTTTCTCAATACAGTGAGATATTCTAACTTTCTTTCTAAAAAAGAATAATTTTACGCATGTCCCGAAACAGGTCATATGGGACATATAATGAAAACTTATACTCCGTATGCCCCACATATATTGAGCATTTAGAAAAATGATCACAAAAAGAATAAGGCGATAAGATAAAATCAAATACCCATATTTCATAGAGATTAATCAAGGCTTCTAAAAAGCTCCAAAAGGTCAAAAGTAACACCAATATGCATTTCTCTGTGTCTAATTTGGACAAATAATACTCCGTGTATTTTACGGAGTAGTACATCGTAACCTGTAACTTGTAGCAGCTATTATCTGCAAATGCTACTAAATTAAAGTATTAAACCACAATAAAAAAACGCAAGATGAATAATTGAATACTACGTATATGAGATATGAGAAAGAAAACTTTTAAGTGTAAATTAATAAATCAATGGAAATTTGAGAAAGAACGTACGTAGGTACCAGTTTGGGAATGAAAAGGGGGAATCCCAAAGGGGTGACCTGAGAACACAAATACATCTAGAATTAACTGATCCAAATGCTCTTGTGTTCTAAGGTGACCACTCTGGTGTCAACCTTTTGTTACATACTTACATTATTATGTATGATCTCATTAAGCTTTTATTTATTATTATTGAATTGGAAACACAAATTAAATAGAAGCTGCCCTAACCATATATGCATGTTATATAGTACCCCGTGAAACCGATATGGCGTCACAATGTCACCATTCTAGCTATGTCTACACCAACTATGTTGTCATAAGTTTGACATTATTTTATAAACCGTATTGAATTATTGAGTGTTCCCTCGTCACTAAGGGGTGTTTGGAAGTGATTCTGATTCTGCTTCTTTTTTAAAGCAGAAGCAGAATCAGAATCAGTTTTCAGAAGTTGGTACCCCCCAACTTCTAAAAAAACTGATTCTGAGAATAAATTAGAGTACCAGAAGTGCTTCTGGAATTTCACCCAAACACTCCAGCTTCTGCTTCTGCTTCTTGAAGGAGTAGAATCAGTTTTGAGAATCAGATCCAAACACCCCCTAACTAGTCATTAACTGATTGTCTGATACTCCGTAATATAATTAGAGTCATTAACTGTTTTTTTCCTTTTTGTTCTAATAACATGAATGATGTAACTCACGTGTAAAGATATGTAACTCACGTTATGTAACTTGTCAAATACATAGTATAACTCAAGTCCATTCGAAATGTAACTTGTCAAATACATAGTATAAGAAATTAAATATTGATTTCAATGTAAACAATGAAAAAGAGTCTAATCGCACAATTGCTTTAGGTAAACGTGAATATGTTTTGTTTTTAATATCATGAACATAAAAAATGATTTTTAAAAAGAGATCATTTTTTTGGTTTCAATAGCAGGGGTTGATTTTTTAAATGTAACTCATGTTATTACAAATGTAACTCGCGTTCATGGCAAAAATAACTTAGGTGTACACAGAATGTAACTTGTTGAAAAATTGAACAATGTTTTTTGTGTGTTTGAGAATTATATATATATTATAAACATTGATTTCAATGTAAACAATGAAAAATTGATCCTAATAGCTTAATTACTTTTTTTAAATAGTGAATATGTTTTATTTTGAATATTAGGGATATAAAAATGATGTAGCAGAGGTTTATTCTGTGGTGTAACTTGGATAGATTAAGATGTAACTCACGTACATTAAGATGTAACTCGCGTACATTAAGATGTAACTCGTGCAGAAGAAGATGTAACTTCATGATATATTATTAAATGTAACTTCAAGAATCAAATTAAACAAACTCAATGTCTTAAAAACCTCTAAAAACATATAAAAGTGATAAAAAAATTATATTTTAGAAAAAGTGTGTGCAATAAAAAATATTACAAAATAGAGTATGAATATAAAAAGTATATTACAAAAAAAGTATACGAGTATAAAAAATATTACAGAAACAAAAATAGTGTATGAATATTAAATGCAATATACTTATTTTATTTAGATCAATAATTTTTTTGTGTATTGATAAAGAATAAAAAAATAGATTCAATTGTAATTTAATTTGAATTTGTCCGGCCGTCGCCATTTGGGGTGGTTTCCGGTGGAATATTTTGATGAAAATTTTTGAGCATATTATTTATTAAGTCTAGTTTATTCATACCAAATTTCAGCTAAAAATTCAACTGAGAAGACAGTCAAATGATTTTCTGAAATATACCGCGTTGTTTAACTGCGCAGTTATCTTCAAAAAATCATTTGACCGCCTCTCCGATTGAATTTTTAGCTGAAATTTGGTATGAGTAAACTAGACTTAATGAACAATATCTCAAAAAATTTCATCAAAAAATTCCACCGGGAATCACCCCAAATAGCGACTGCCGGACAAAGCGTCATATATAAGGGGTGATTTGCATTTTTTATGTAAGTTCGAGGGCTTATTTGATAATTCTCCCTTGTGACTTTAGAAATGTCTAATACAATTTAGAGGCTGTTTGGTAACACTGTTTTTCAGCTTATGAGGCTTATCAACCAACTTTTCCACCAAACACGCAACTTTTGTTTTCGCGCGCTGAATTATGTAATAAGAAGAAAAAGTAAGGTTGAAGTTACTTTTGTGGCTGTATTAGCTGAAGCTAGTGTAGATGATCATTTTAGCTATTTTTACATATAATTTTTTCTTTATTCTATAATAAAATATATTTTAATTGTTTTTGTTAAATCAGCGGAATCAGCAGTCAGCATGCTGCGTTGGATGTGTGGGCATACTAGAAAGGACCGCGTGAGGAATGAGACAATTAGACAAAGGGTGGGAGTAGCACCTATTGAAGATAAGATGCGGGAGTCACGCCTACGGTGGTTTGGTCATGTGCATAGAAGACCGAGTGATGCACCTGTCAGACGAGTTGAGATGTGTGGAGAAGAGGTAGGGAAGAGAGGGAGAGGAAGGCCCAAACAGACGTGGGTTAGGGGAGTCAGAAGTGATATGCTTCTTCTTGGATTGGATGAGGGTATGACTTTGGAGAGAGCAAAATGGAGGGCGGGTATTCGTGTTGAGGAGTGATCTTGTATCATCTTTTTTTTCTTCTTCTTCTTCTTTTTTTTTTTTTTCCTTTTCTTTTATATCTTTATCCTTATATATAAATATTACCTTATCCTTTTTATTTGATCTTTTATATGTATATTCATCTCTTTTATATTATCTTTTTTTTATAATAGCTTATCTTTTTTATCTTTAGTTTCTTTCTTTTCCTTTTGGTGATAATGTGATATCATATATCGATTCATGTTAGCCGACCTCAATATCATTTGGGACTAAGGCTTGGATGTTGTTGTAGCGGAATCAACAGTCACTCTAATTAGAACTTCATAAATTTCAGCAGAATCAGTCACCAAATAAGCCATTTGGTGTCACCAAACGAGCTGTTATTATACATACAGAGTATTTTTCTACCTAAATTAATTCGAACTTCCGAGGAATCACTTGTACTTGATAATTTGTGTACCCAGAAAACCCTCTGAAATCCCCTATGCGCAGTGGAAGGAGTCGATCAAACTTCGCTCGTCACTCGCTGCATGATCTTAGTATAGTAGTTGAGTAAGTAGATGCTTAATATTTGTATTTACTTCTCAACTTCAGCTAGTTTTTTCTCTTTAGTAGTTCTAGAGGTTTCAAATTTATTCTGCCTTGATTATTATTAGAATGCTATCGAATGTTCCACTGTATCCAATATTAATGAACACGTGTTTTGTCTATTTTGGATGCACTTACGATCTGTAGTCTGTACTAACCAGGAAGATGGAAGAGATTGATTTGGTTCAGTCTGCAGGGATAGGTTCAGCGATGTAGAAAATATTTCTGAAGTTGTGAATCATATACCTCAAAAATTTGATCATAAGAATACCCAAATCATGGTTGCTGAAGTAATGATTTTCCTCGTTTTCATGGGTTTTACTGCAAGGTTATTGATAGATGGTTCATGGTTGGATGATTTATGTTAATGTTTTTATTTTGTCTGCACTAATTTCAGGTAAAGAGAACTGACAAGTGATTTATAATTTCATAGTGCTTTTTGGTGCTTGGAGTTGTGGCAAAACCTGGAAAGGGGATTTTTGATTGAAATGGTTCAAGGGACATACACAAACACTTTAGCAACATCCAGATACTTTGGTGTTTGCGGATCTACATGTGTTTCACGGAGGTATTTTGGACATTTCAGTGAAGGCCCGAAAGTGTTTGGTGTGGGTAGTCAATCTGGTTGGCATTCATATGGAAAAAGAAAAATTAATGTTAGACATATTGATATTTCACATGGACGGAATTGGAGAGTTGAAGCTGGATGGCTGTTCAAAGGGGACATGCAGGATTCTGCTAGCACTGAGCGAAGCGAGAGGGCCAGTGAGGATATATTAATGCTTTTTTTCCAACTGGATTTGGCAACACGAGTTCAGGTCTAGATTGCTTTATCACTATAATAAGTGGCTATATAGTTTACGCACCACTAAATAGTATTTTATGAGTAGAAAGAAGTGAATGGAGCTCCAATATGCTGTTTTCTTGCAGTGTGCTCTGAATTTGGAGCAATATGACATTGCCCAGCAACTAAGGAATAAGCTCACTGAGGTTAGTTCGGAATTGTCAGATATTAAGTGATGTGTTTGCAAGAACCTACAATTAGTATCATAGCCATACAATACAATTTTGACCTGGATTTTATACAGTTGCAGAATTGATGTATTCTCTTTTGATTTTTATAGCATCCCCAACGATGCCTATATAGGCAGTAGGCTCTTCTCTATCAGCTAGAGGCTTCACAGTGCTTATTAGAGCATTGAACTGGGCTCTGGCCCATTCATGTTTGATCTGTTTTTTTTACTAATCTGTGTACATGAGACTCATTGTATTATACAAAAAAAATTATTTATGTAAATTATATGTTTGCTTCCATTCCGGCCATGAGGCCCATCTAAGTTCAGAGAAGTTAATATATACACAAAAGGAAAGGACATTCAAGAGAGGGTATTGAACCTCTACACAAATCAACAATACAATCGATCAGCAAAGCTCGTTATTGTCAACACAATAACTGGATTGCCGATTGCCTCATTGCCTTGCTGCAATCAGCCCAGCTTAGCAATGGCATCAGCCATTTCAGTTGCATTCTCATCTCTCAGCAAGCATTGTGAATCTTACTGTCACAAGATATCAATCTGGCCGTCATCCTGGAAACAACCAACTTGCTGCTCATCTGTCCTGATAGATCTTGACCAAAAATCAAATATCAAATATCCTGATTCGTGAACAATGGGTTTTTAGTCTCCTAACCTGATTATGTGATTTTTGCAGGTTGAATCTGCAATTATAAAGGAGCAAGAATCTAGACGAGGATCAGCCTCAAAGGGTGAAGTTCAAGATTTGGCTATTAGCATCTTGCGCTTGCGGTAACAAAATTTGATTTTCATAGGTTTTTCTGACTGTTAATGAATAGTAATGATCCTAGTAACTCTAAGTTCACATTGTCTCTATCGTCTCTTTCATACTGTATTTCTTTCTCAGTTTTTCTTCGTCTTTCTAAAGACGGTTGTTTAATTTGTCTTCCTTTCAGTGCAGACCTGCAGAATGCTGTTCAAAGTGAAAACTATAGTTTGGCTGCCGATATTCGAGACCGAATTTCCAAAATTGAAGCGGAATCTCTGGCTGCATCAGTGAGGGCTCAAACTTATGGAAATGATTATTTTGCATTCCGTTTGGGTCAGAGAGTGAAGCACAAGGTTTTCGGTATGGAATTTGCGGAACCACCTCTTCTACGTTCTTGCTTCTCTGTGTCAAAAGCAATGAGTTTCTGCGCCCAATAAAATTTGTTTAGCACCATCAGTTTTCTGTACAGTTAATTTGTGTTTGATTCTTGAGACATGTATGACTGACCAGTGCACGCAATCGAGAATATTAAGGATGTATTCTCATTGTGGCTCTTCTGAGTCATAGACCGAACCAGACTCAAACCAACCAAAACACATCAGACCATAGTTGCATGTTAGGAACTTAAGCACCATGGAGAGCCACACCCCAAAAGCTAGCTGTTAAGGTGGGAGAGCCAGGCACTTAAGAACCCCACCAAGCATCCCATTCTACTCGGTGTGTGACTTTTGGTATCCCATTCTACCTAAGTCCCTAACAATACACCCTCCCTGGAAAGCCGACGTCCCGACGGCACTTCACTCGGCAGGCACTTCACTCGGCCGATCCGCCTGTCAGAACCCTCCGCTGGTCAGAACCCTCCGCCTGTAGCCCTTTTGGCCCGCCGACAACCGGCTCTGATACCATTGTTAGGAACTTAAGCACCTTGGAGAGCCACACCCCAAAAGCTAGATGTTAAGGTGGGAGAGCCAGGCACTTAAGAACCCCACCAAGCATCCCATTCTACTCGGTGTGGGACTTTTGGTCCCATTCTACCTAAGTCCCTAACATTGCTACACATAGTATTTTATCTAAGACCAAACCATACTTAAACAGGCTGGACTTTAACAAATTAAACACGACTCAAGCAGACAAGGCCTGATAAAACCAGCAAAATTAAGTACAGCATGTTCTAACTGGAAACGTACTTGAGACATGTTTTTTACTCTCTCTCTTCCTTAAATTAGAGTATAACAATTGTTTATGTACAAGTTTTCTTTTATCACTACCAACTACCAAGCCTATAAAGTGCTTTTCAATGATACAAGTGAGCCAAGCACTTTGTTGATGAACTTTCTTCCTTTGACTCTTGAGGATATGAAATATGAAAAGAAGCTAAATGTACTTTCCTTCTTTATTTCCTCTTATGGGACCACATTGCAGAAATATGAGGTAGAGGAAAGAAAATTTGTTTTTCATTCGGGTGGTAGTTTTGGAGGGAAACGCCAAGACAAAGCTGCAATTTTCTTTCTTTTTTTCTTCTTTCCATTTAGTTAGACTCCATGTAGAATATAGATAAGTAAATATCTGGTGTTGGAGTAGAATAGTATACTTCTATAATGAATGATAACCCTTACCACCTAAATTTCACATTTATCTCCAATTTGGAATTTAGAGGTAAATGGGAAGAGGAAAACTATGAAGGGAATATCAGAATTTCCTTATTTCTTCTTTTTCCCCTAACAAGGGAAAAATCACAATTTTATATTCTTTCCTCCCATATGTTTTCATCCCAACCAATAATGTAAAAACATGCTTATTAATAATGGTGGGCAGTTTCTGTTCGGTATGGTTTATTTGTGTTTTTTGGTTTGGTTTGGTTTTATATAATGAGGTTTTATTGTATTTTTAGTTCTTTGATTTGGTTTTATTCAGCTTCAGTTTGGATTAATACATTTTAGGAAACCATTACCAAACTAAAATCGGATAGCATATGGTTTGGTTTTACTTTGGATTGTTTCTGTTTGGCTTGCTGAGTGGAAACTATGCCTTGGTGGATGTTGAACTGCATTTCACTATTTTGCGTGTAATTTTTCTATTGTGGCACTCAAAATGAATGTATATTAAATTATTAATGTATTCAAGGATATTGCGGTGTTATATGTGGGATGGATCCCGTGTGCTGTGAATCAAGTTCATGGACGGAAAATGCCAAGATTGACAAGTTGTCTCGTGGTTCTGATCAGCCATTTTATCAGGTTTTTTCTACCTCTTTTTATTTACAACTTTTTGGGAGCAGAAACACATTAAGGAAGCCTTTATTCTCCTTGTACTTTGGTCTGCTGTGAGTATTTCTTGTCCCATTCTCCAACTAGATCTGAATGTAGTATGGACGTCTATGGTTTGGTGTCATCTGAGTCTCTTATTAATTTAAGAATAACTAACAAGATTATAAATATGTTGAATAAAACAATGGTCCAGTCATCCTCTAGTTACAAGCATAAAAATATGTCTAAGATTTCATTATGAGGCTATGGCTGGGATGTGGATCTTTAGCTTTTCATTTTAGGCCATTAATATTTGAGGGAGTAATCTGTCCCTAGTATAAAACTAAGGATGTTTTTAGTTGCATTGATGTGCGTTCCAAACAAATCAGATGCGGGCGTCGTGCCTACGATGGTTTGCTCATGTGCATAGAAGACCGAGTGATGCACCTGTCAGACGAGTTGAGATGTGTGAAGAAGAGGCAGGGAAGAGAGGGAGAGGAAGGCCCAAACAGACGTGGGTTAGGGGAGTCAGAAGTGATATGCTTCTTCTTGGATTGGATGAGGGTATGACTTTGGAGAAAGCAAAGTGTAGGGCACGTATTCGTGTGGAGGAGTGATCTTGTATCATCTCCCCCTCCCCCCCTTTAAATCCTTTTATCCTTTTATATAAATATTATTTTTTTTTCCTTTGTATTTTTTCTTTTATATGTATATTCATCTCTTTTATACTTCCTTTGTTCGGTTTTATTTGCAACATAGCCGTGGGCACGTATATTAAGAAAATCCTGTCAGAAGTTCTTTTTTCCGACTTTGCCCTTATTTCTACTATTGGGCTGTATAGTGAATTTCTGACATCAAACCCCACCGCTTTTGAAATCTCTTCCTCTTTTGCTTAGCTTTTCTTCGAAATTCTGCAAATTTAGAGTGTGAGCACAGACCATCCTCGTCTCATCGATGTTGCTGCTATGACCTCCGAAAACTAAAATTTGCAAAGCTATCAGTTTGGGACTATCTCAGAGGGCGAAAAGTCGAAAACTTTGTAGCTTACAACTTAGCGCTGGCAAGATCTCCGATGTAGAAGTCGTAATCGAGCCGGCGAGAACGTCGGCGGGTGAGTCATCGAGTGTCTCCAGTGCAGGCGGTGACCCCAAGACTTGAGTACTCGAATTTCTCCATAGCGATGAGATCCACAAAAATAAAAATAAGAAAGTAGGAGATATCTTGGAGAAAAAAGTGTCAATCGAGAAAACTAAAAGAAGTTGCAGGGAAAGGGATGAAGAAGAGGTTAAACGGAATCGGTGGACAGAAATTTTGGATACATGAATTTATGAGTAGTGGGTCAGGATATTAAAATGGATAGATTAGGTTAGATGGTTGGATTTTTATTTAAGAAATGTAGTGCTCCGTGTTACTTAAAAAGTGTTAGGGTATTCTGGTCATTCTAGCTACTTCTTATTACCAAAAAAGGAAATGTTGCAATTATTTTGAAACTTCCCAAAGAGGTAAGTGTTGCAATTATTTAGGAACGGAGGAAGTATTATCTTTTTTATAATAGCTTATCTTTTTTATCTTTATTTCCTTTCTTTTCCTTTTGGCGATATCATGTATCGATTCATGTTAGCCGACCCCAATATCGTTTGGGACTAAGGCTTGGATGTTGTTGTTGTTGTTGTTGTTGATGGTGTGAGTTCCAGACCAAAATCTGAACAGATCATATCAGAATAGACTTCAACAGTTGTAAAATACGCATAGAATAGACATCTATCAGATCAAACTTAAATAGACCAGATTACACCAGACCAGAAAATTACAGTCCATATAAAACATTCTAAATCAATCATTCCTAATATGTCCACTCAGATGTAAGGTTCATGGGAGGGTGAGGATATGCATGCTTTACCTCTTCATTTCATATGTCATATCCAGCTATTCTGTTGCTGCAATCAAAGAATAACTGATGAACACGAAGTCGTAAACTGCTTAATATAGCTTCCTGACATTCATATTAAATGCCTGAGTATAACACTCTGCTTTGCTATTTACAGGTGCTGGTTGATGTCTCTGCAGACCCAAATCTATTAGTTACATATGGTAATTAAGGTTTTGGTTCTACCTTACATATGGAATCATCTATCTACTTTATTATTAAGATATCTCAGCTTGAAAAGAAATGCACTATACGCAATCTGAGTCATATTCCTTGTATTTAATCTGAGTCATATTCCTTGTATTCACCATGCAGTGCCGGAGGAGAATTTGGATGCCCCAAGTGAGTCAAATACAGTAAGTAATACTAGTGCATACACCCACACACCAACCCCTCAAAAGTCATGTTTTTAATACTAAAACAAGGGTTTTGATGCTTCAAAATTAATACTCCGTATTTAAAAAAAATCTGTGTATAAGCGTATTGTGATTCAAAAAACTCATCAACACACTGTGTTATGATCTATGATCAATCATGCACTCATTATTGGAACAACAAATTTAGCAGCCGAGTAAGATGCACCTTAGCTATTATAATACTTCGTGCATGATTACTAATTACACCGAATATGCATGTTTTGTTGGCAATTAAATTTGTGGTCTTAGGGTGTTGTTTGCATGATTAATTATAACACAGAGGATTTTGATGCAAGGTTTTGAAAGGCGAAATCGGGCCTCGAGGCGTTAGGGGGTAGCCTTCCGAGGCGTAAGCCTCGAGGCGTAACGAGGCGTAAGCCCCGAAATTGTGTTGCTACAAACCTATGACATATTAGAAAGTACATATAATTCATAACAATAATGTAGCTAAACAAAATCACAAGTAAAATGAACGTAATTATAAAATATTCAAGTCAAAATAACATAAAACTGAAATACCAAAGTCAAAACTCAAAAGAACATAAAACATTAAAATTCTAAGAAAAAAAATTTAATCTTCAAAACTAAGCCTATCGTCCCCATCATCACTATCCAAATTAGTAATGTCATTCTCATTGTCATCTCCTTCATTATCACGGGCCTCATTATCTTCTTCAGTTCCAACAGTAAGGTCCACCCCTAAGGTCCACCCCTACAGTCCTACACACATAAAGTCACAAAAATAGAATGAAACGGGATGGAAGTTAATTGTAAATAATTATATTGAAGTGACAAATAATTGATAATCAACTATAATAAAAAAATGTAATCAAACTGTAATGAACTTAACTACATGTATAATTAAAATTAAATCTTGAGTGCAGTAAACTACTAAAGTACGTAGTACTAATTTTTTAACAAATAAATTAGTATTTAGTAAGGTGAATGATAGTTTAAATGCTAGGCTTATAAATTCATTAATAACTTTGTCTGACACATCACACATAAACACAAACAGACATTTATGATCTTTTAAATTCAAAACCGACACAAATACATTAATTAAACACTAAAAATTTAAATAAACAGACAACTATTAAATAACGAAACAATTCATAATCAACTTTAATAAAAATAATATGATCAAACTAATCAACTTTAAAATTAAACTACCAAAGTACGTAGTATCAATTTTTTAACAAATAAATTAGTATTTAGTAAGGTAAATGATAGTTCATAGTTGTATTATTAGAACTTCAAAGTTTAAACACTAGGCTAATAAATTCATAAATTCATTAATAACTTTGTCTGACACATTACACATAAACACAAGAAGACATTTATGATCTTTTTAAATTCGACAAAAATATATTAATTAAACACTGAAAAGTTAAATAAACAGACAACTATTTAATACTACATAACTTTTTTTTTAGAATCAATACTACGTAACTTTTAATAATTCAAAACAGAACTTTTAAATAAATAAAAAAGTAATACCTGGATGAACCGGCAAAGCAGAGCAGCAGGGAGGCGCTGAGATCCTGAGCAGCTCTTCTTCAAGTTGCTGACTTTCTGTTTCTTGTTTGTTGCTATTGTAGAAGAATAGAAGAGGGGACCGGCAGTTGGAATTTGGAAGACGGGGTAGGGCTGTGGCTAATTTATAAACGATCCCAGTAATATGTATTTTAGGATGAGAAAAACAAATCCAGGCCCCCAATAATTAAAAAAAAGCCCAAAGTCGATTCAAATAAGAGGCGTACGCCTCTTGAACGCCCACCGCCTCAAGCCAGATTCTACGCCTCGTCATAGAAAGGCGTAAGCCTTGTCCCGGTAAGTTAAGGCCTAAGCCTTACGAGCGATAACATACCGCCTTTACGCTTTTGCGCCTCTGGTGCGTAAAGGCGAAACGATTTTTAAAACCATGTTTTGATGTATTTAAAGAATCATGAGGGACTAATGCACATTATTTGTGTATGAGAAGAGGGTTTGACACATTAAACCCACTAAAATAGTATTAGAAGGGTTTCTTTCTTCCAATGTTTTCCTCCAAGATGCATGGAGTCTATTCTTTTTTACAGATGAGAAAGCTCCACTGCTATGTATTTCTACCTCACCATTAATACAATTGTGATAATCTCTACACAGAATAGGTTTGAGCATCCATACATTTCCTTGTTGTTTTACGGGATGGATGCTGCTGGAGATTTCATCCCTATCAAAGAGCTGCGAGAGAAGTACAATATGCCACGGCATGAGGTGCCTTATGATCAAGAAGATGAAAATGCTGGAGAAGATGCTTAAATGGCTGCAGCGTCGGAGCTCTTAATGAAATGCATGTTGAGGAGCTGAAGTAGTGGAAGGGTAGACGTGAGTAAGATGAAAGGGAAGTGGTGGTGTAAACTATATTTCTTCCTTGAGAAGGTATCGCTAGTAAATTAAGTACTAGATCTGCTTCGAAATTGACAAAAGCAGTTCAAAGTTTAAATGGTATATATGAATATACAAAAAAGCTGTTTGTACTTCTCATACCCATCAGTACACCATATATAAGCAAAAAGTCTATTTGTACACCTTTTTATACCCGTCAGTACACCATATATAAGGCCCAAAGTAAAAAAAAATTGAGTCAATTCTCTAAATAGGACTAAAAAGTGGCAAAATTGCACAAATAGGACTACATTTTTTAATTTCCCTTAATAGGACTATTTATGTGTGTATGGACAAATATACCCTTGTAACTTGTGAAATGTTTTAATTAATAATAAAATCATAAAAAAATAATAAAAATCGAAAAAAATACTAAAAATCATAAAACAATAATAGAAAATTAATAAAAATATTTTTTAAAAAAATTAAAAAAAAAAATTTAAAAAAAATCGTAAAATTAAAAAAAAAACATCACCACCCCTGCCACCCCCCAGCACCACCAGCTCCCATCACCGGAGAAAAATATGCCAACATTTTAAATAATGTCATAATGATGGCATATTCAATGAAAATGTTGACATGTTGAAGAGTAATTATGCCATCTTTTTGGCATTTTCAGAAAAAGATGGCAGTTTTTACCAAAAGTGGAAGAAATTTCACCAATCGGAGGTGGTGGTGCTGGGAGGCGGCGGGAGGCGGTGGGAAAGGTATCCATAATTTTTTTCATTTTTTTATGGGTTTTTACTAATTTTTATTATTTTTTAAAAAAAATTAAAAAATAAAAATTTAAATTTTTTATTTTATAAATGTTTTATAAATTTTTTATAATTTTTTTACGTTTTTTAAATATTTTTTACGTTTTTTTATGATTTTATTATGAATTAAAACATTTCATTATGAATTAATACTCTTAGGGGTATTTAGGGTAGAAAATCAATGTTTTGTCCTATTTAGGGAATTTAAAAAGTAGTAGTCCTATTTGTGCTTTTTAGGAACTCATTAGTCCTATTTAGGACAATTTCCGAAAAAAATTACCCCCCTTTCCCACCTCAACCCCACTTGCGCCAGTCTCCCTTCCCAAAATCAAACTCCCGCTCTCAACTCTTTCCGCATCCCAACCCGTCTCTTCCAAAGTTTTTCAGAAATCCTTCCCCACGAAACATCAAAGCCGTCCCTTGCATCCCAATGCCCATCGGAGAAGGTGACCTGTAGTCGGACGACCTGCGCAGGGCTGGACATCGCAGTGGGTTGAGAACGAAGACCCGTGACAGTTCTTGGACAAACCCGCTGGTTGAGAACGACAATGGAGAAAAGGTTAGTATCATTTTAATTGATTTCAAACCACATTAAATTTTGAAGGTTATTTGGAGTGTTAATGAAAAAGACCCCATTGTCAATTAAGGTGTTCATAAAGGCTAGGGATTTTATAGCGACATTAATTTGGGCATTTTTGATGTTTTTCGGGTTTTGTTGTGTGTTACCTTTTTAATTTGGTGGATCATTTTATCACCGTCGCCCACTTTCTCGCCACTGATAACAAACCCAAACAATATTGTTAGTGTTCAAATTTCAATAAGAAGGATTACAAGACTCATAGGAATATATTACTCTTCTGTCCAGGAAAGAGAGTCATGTTTGAGTAAGTTACAAATTTTTGGTCAACTCAGTCAAGGTTAAAGCATTTTGAAGTTATGTCACTTATATCCCTACATTTTTTCATATGTCCCCAAGTTATCTGGTAAATAATACAGTTTGAGACTTTGAGCTCATGTTTATAAAGCTTATTTTCAAGATTGTTTGGAGTAACTGACAAAATGTGATGTCAATATCTGATCTTGTTTTTTGTAGGTTTGAATTTTGCTGCATTCACATTTTTAGCTATAGAATTGACAAAGTCATTCATCATTTCGTGTATATTTTAATTAAGGCATGAAAACCACAGAAGATTTGGGCTGAATTTGAATTGGATTTGTAGAATAAAAAACTTTTTGGATGTGTTGTTTTTTTGTGCGAATATTTTTAGGTCTATACATTGTTTTGTATTGTTTGTGACTCGTGATTCTGTCTGTGACATGGCTCTAAAGTTAAAAATTCCGCTTAAAGACTTTCCCTGCTCAGTATTCAGTGTGTGAAAAATATAATAAAGCATCCAATACGTTACAATCATGCTTATCCGCCAAGCAATTGCAACTGTTCCACCAGCTACCGCGGAGCCATCTTGTGGATGTTCCGGAGATTCAATTTTCTGCCCAAATAGTTCATTTGCTCCTTTTATGCCTTGTGGAGGAACAACCAGAAGATGAACTCTGGTTTTGCGTTCAAGGAAAGCTTTTAAAGTTTACCTTTGCTGATTATTGTCACATCACTGGATTACCCTCTACGGGCAAAATGCCATCCTTACCAAAGGAAGATGAAGTTCGGGAAGATGAAGTCGAGGTTGAATAAAAAGAACCTGGGGTGGTGGCAGACAAGTACCTTGGTGGCTCAGTGGATACTACCTTTGAGAAGTTCAAGGAAGGACTTCAAAAATTGAAGCCTTCCAAACAAGGTGATTCAATTGATGCTGTGAAGTTGGCCTCTTTGTACATTGTTCAGTGTGTCTTGCTAGCCAAAGACAGGACCACGAAGACAAATCCCGACTTCGTAAGATTGGTTAATGATTTGGACAAATTCAAAGCTTACTCGTGGGCTAAGGAGTCTTACAAGTTATTGATCACCCATTTGAAGGGTTTAATGGCTCGGCAACCAAAGAAGTTTAAAGAAAGCGAGGCAAATAAAGCAAGTTATCGGAACACAAAGTTCATTGCGTATGGTGCGCCATTAGTTGTACAGGTATCACAAATGCAATTATGTATTTCTTTATTAATTTGGTTATTTATTTATGTATTTTTTAATTTATGTGTTTGTGAGGTTTATGTAATTGTATTTCTCTGACAATATATGTTGTACACAAACACTACATATTGGTCACATACAAAAAATGGCCTATAAACAGACAATGATGTTCTGTGTTTTGTGTTATTTATAGGTTTGGGCTTACGTAGCTATACCGGAACTTGGGAAACACTTTGCCAAGGAGGGTGATACACATGTGCCTATACTAAATTGGGGTGCGGATGGAATTTGTCATAAATATAAAACACTTTGGTGGGTGATACATAATTTGTCATAATTTTGGTTCTAGAGGACAGAACATATCAGGCCATCAGAGGCCCTTCCCTGTGGAAATTTTTGATGAATTTTTTTGAGCATGTTCCCCATCAAGTCTAGTTTGTCCAGATCAAATTTCAGCTAACAAGTCAATCGGGAAGGCAGTGAAATAAATTATCTACCAAAACTGTGCAGTTTTTGTAGAACATATATTTGAGTGTCTTGCTGATTGAGTTTTTAGCTGAAATTTGGTGTGGATAAACTAGACTGGATGAGAAACATTGTAAAAAAAATTCATCAAAAAATTCTACCAAGAAGGGCCTCTGATGTCCTCGGCCGGACGGCGGTTTCCGTCAGGCCGGCCTGACAGGATCGGAACTCTATGGTTCTATATTAAACACTTTGACAATTAGATGATTTTTTTAAGCTTTGTCGTCAGAAAGCTTCCATCCGCACTCCAGTTTAATATAGGCACCTGTGTATCACCCACATTCTTGGCAAAGTGCTTCCCAAGTTCTAGTATAACTTCGTACGCCCAAACCTATAAATAACACAGAACATCATTGTCTGTTATAGGCCATTTTTTGTATATGACCAATATGTAGTGTTTGTGTACAACATATATTGTCGGAGAAATACAATTACATAAACCTCACAAACACATAAATTAATAAATACATAAATAAATAACCAAATTAATAAAGAAATACCTAATTGCATTTGTGATACCTGTACAACTAATGGAGCACCATAAACAGTGAACTTTGTGTTCCGATAACTTGCTTTATTTGTCTCACTTTCTTTAAACTTCTTTGGTTGCCCAGCCATTAAACTCTTCAAATGGGTGATCAATAACTTGTAAGACTCCTTAGGCCACGGGTAAGCTTTGAATTTGTCGAAATCATTGACTTATCTTACAAAGTCAGGATTTGTCTTCGTTGTCTTGTCTTTGGCTAGCAATACACACTGAACAAAGTACAAAGAGGCCAACTTCACAGAATCAATTGGATCACCTCGTTTGGAAGGTTTCAATTTTTGAAGTACTTCCTTGAACTTCTCAAAGGTAGTATCCACTGAGCCACCAAGGTACTTGTCTGCCACCGCCCTAGGTTCTTTCTCTTCAACCTCATCTTCCTTTGGTAAGGATGGCATTTTGCCTGTAGAGGGTAATCCTGTGATGTGACAATAATCAGCAAAGGTAAACTTTAAAAACTTTCCTTGAACGCAAAACCAGAGTTCATCTTTTGGTTGTTCCTCCATAAGGCGTAAAAGGAGAAAATGAACTATTTGGGCAGAAAGTTGAATCTCCGGAACATCCACAAGATGGCTCCATGGTAGCTGGTGGAACAGTTGTAATTGCTTGGCGGATAAGCATGATTGTAGCAGATCGGACGTTTCATTATATTTTTCGCACACTGAATACTGAGCACGGAAAGTCTTTAAGCGGAATCACGAGTCATAGACAATACAAAACAATGTATAGACCTAAAAATATCCGCACTGAAAAAAGACACCCAAAAATATCTTTTGACCCACAGACAAAACAACAACATGCCTAAAATTATCTCCCAACATGACAGACTAATCCAAAGTTAACACAAACACTGTTGTTAGTCCAACTCACAGATAACTCAAAAGGTAACACAAACAGTGGCGATCCTACATCTTGAAGTTAAAGATTAAACACAACAAAAAATATGTAGTTAAATAAAATTATCATGTTCAAGTATTACAAAGCCAAATGTATTATATAACTAATTTATTGGAATCATATTATGCTAATATTAGTCAAACAAACGTAACAAATAAAATTTAGATATCTAAAAATTGAAGCATTTAAGACAAATGAAAGTTTTTTATTCTGCAAATCCAATTCAAATTCAGCCCAAAACTTCTGTGGTTTTCATGCCTTAATTAAAATATACACGAAATGATGAATGACTTTGTCAGTTCTAATGCTAAAAACGTGAATGCAGCAAAATTCAAACCTACAAAAAACAAGATCACATTTTGTCAGTTACTCCAGACAATCTTGAAAATAAGTTTTATAAACATGAGCTCAAAGTCTCAAACTGTATTATTTACCAGACAACTTGGTGACATGTGAAAAAATGTAGGGATATAAGCGCGTTCAAAACTTCGAAAAGCTTTAACCTTGACTGAGTTGAAGAGTAATATATTCCTATGAGTCTTGTAATCCTTCTTATTGAAATTTGAACACTAACAATATTGTCTGGTTTTTTTATCAGTGGCGAGAAAGTGGGCGACGGTGATAAAATGACCCACCAAATTAAAAAGGTAACACACAACAAAACCCGAAAAACATAAAAAAATGCCCAAATTAATGTCGTTATAAAATCCCTAGCCTTTATGAACACCTTAATTGACAATGGGGTCTTTTTCATTAACACTCCAAATAACCTTCAAAATTTAATGTGGTTTGAAATCAATTAAAATGATACTAACCTTTTCTCCATTGTCGTTCTCAACCAGCGGGCTTGTCCAAGAACTGCTCACGGGTCTTCGTTCTCAACCCACTGCGATGTCCAGCACTGCGCAGGTCGTCCGACTACAGGTAACCTTCTCCGATGGGCGTTGGGATGCAAGGGACGACTTAGATGTTTCATGGGGAAGGATTTTCGAAAAACTTTGGAACAGACGGGTTGGGGATGCGGAAAGAGTTGAGAGTGGGAGTTTGATTTTGGGAAGGGAGACTGGCGCACGTGGGGTTGAGGTGGGAAAGGGGGGTATTTTTTTTTTACTTTGGGCCTTATATATGGTGTACTGATGGGTATTAAAAGGTGTACAAAGAGACTTTTGTTTCAGAAAGCCTATCTTCAAAAGCATCAATTCGCTTTTCCATTCTTTCAACACACATACACATGTCCTCCATCCGGTCCATGATCTTTAAGTTATGAAATGATTGGTCATCTTCATCAGATTATCCTCCATCAAAACTAGAACATATTTCATCCTCCTACCATAAAGGAAATGATGCAGATGTGTAAGAACTTATGGAGTATGAGTTATGCACACATATAGTGTTATTCTTGCTTTCTCCTAAAGAGGATTCGTTCGATCTTAAAGAAAGAATTAAGTAGTTAGATTATTCTTTTCCTGGAATTGAATGAGTTCTATTTGAGGAAAAACAAGGGAAAAGGTGCAAATAGGCCCATGTACTAACCAAAAAAGGTCAAATAAGCCCTTATTTAGGAGACTTTGTCCGGCCGTCGTCATTTGGAGTGGTTCCCGGTGGAATTTTTTGATGCAATTTTTTGAGCATCTTATTCATTAAGTCCAGTTTACTCATACCAAATTTCAGCTAAAACTTCAATCGGGAAGGCATTCAAATGAATTCTTGAAAATAACTGCGCAGTTAGAAGCGCAGTTATCTTCAAGAATTCATTTGAATGCCTTCCCGATTGAAGTTTTAGATGAAATTTGGTATGAGCAAACTAGACTTGATGAATAAGATTCTCAAAAAATTTCATCAAAAAATTCCACCGGGAACCACCCCAAATGATGACAGCCAGACAGAACATCCTAAATAAGGGCTTATTTGATCTTTTTTGGTTAGTACAAGGGCCTATTTGCACCTTTTCCCGAAAAACAATGACAGTTATATATATATGTATTTATGTATAAATGTGCTATGTTTTAGTAGTATTGTTATATAGGCCATTTTTTGTCTGTGACCAATATGTAGTGTCTGTGTACAACGTATATTGTCGGAGAAATACAATTACATAAACCTCAAACACATAAATTAATAAATACATAAATAAATAACCAAATTAATAAAGAAATACATAATGACATTTTTTATTTTATGTATGCCGTGCTGGAATCCATTTTATATTCTTGTACATTATTGTATGGCAGATGACTTTTTGCAGACGTCACTCGCACGTCATCCACAGCAGGGTCTTCCCAGACTCGACGATGTGATAGAGTGGTTCTTTAGCCTCGTAACCAGTGCAAACACCCCCAACGGCAGGCACAAGCACAGCCACATGAGCTTTATGGTGATGATCACGTTGACTTGTGATATTTGTACTTTACATTATTGTGTTAAGCATGAATGAGCTGATCGAATTATCAACTTTATGTGATATATCTAGTATTGTAATCCAATGTAGTTCATTGACTCGTTTTGTGTCTCATATATGTTTTGTTTTTTAGTGCTCTATATTGACTATACTAGTTTTTTACACGCACGTTGTGCAATCGACTAAATGCCCAATATTATATATATGGAATATACCCTTGTAGGATCCAATTGAAACTCCACATAGAAAAAAACAAATGTGAAATAGAGTTTGAAATAGGAAGAAACATTACAAACACGAAAATGACTCAAACCTAATATATTTGTAGTAATTTATTACCAGACTATGACTAAAAATCAATTGATAAAATCATGAATAAATGGAAAAAATAAGAGTTGGGAGTTTTGACTGGACAAAAATAGGACCATTATTGGGAAAGACAAAAAAGAGACCTGCCAAGTTACGGCTAACGATACCTGCGATCCTGCGCCATTTGCGAACTGAGACCTAAGAGCATCCACATTGATGATCTTCACTTTTACGGTTTTTCATGGTCTATTATTGTCATGTCACCTCCACATAAGATAATCTCAAGTAATCTCCAAACCAATAAATTTCTCCTCATTCATGATTTTAATTTACCTTGGATAGGAGCATGAGCATGCACGAACTGCAAAACTAGTCATCACCACAATTATGAGTATATGCCTAGAAGTTGGAAATAATCTCAAAATAATCCAGGTTTAGAATTTGATACCAGATTATTTTATCAAATAGTCTCATAAAATAATCTCAACTCCTCATCTATGATTCCCAAAAAAATCCTCCACATCATCAATCCCAAAAATAATCTATGGATGCCCTAAACTGCGCAATTTCAGATTGGCGAAAGAGACCTGCGAACCGAATCAAACCAAAGGGAGGTTCTGCATCGCCATTTCAGACTGCATCCGCCGCCATCGTCATCGAGCAATTCTGCCACCTTCATCGTTGAGAAGCAGCGCCGTCGTCGTCGAGCAATTCCTTCTCTTGTCGTCGCACCGTGCTCGGACGTTGCAGATCTGTCATCCTCTTCTTCATCACAAGGTCTGGAGCATTTCCTTCTCGTCGCACCCTCGGACGCTGCAGATATGTCTTCTTCTTCATTGCAAGCTGTGGAGCATTCCCTTCTCGTCGCACCATGCTCGAACGCTTCAGATCTTCGTCTGCGGCTGCTAGGGTGGGAGCTTAAGGGGGTTGAAAATGGTGATGGGGACGTGGGCTGGTGCAAGGGAGGTGGCCAGTGCAGAGGAGGTGGCCGGTGCAAGGGAGGGGTCTGGCCGGTGCAGGGGGGGTTGGCTGGTGCAGGGGAAGGGGCTGGCCAGTGCAGAGGAGGGGCTGGGGAAGGAGAGGGGTCTAGCCAGTGCAGGGGAGAGGCTGGGGAAGGGGAGGGGGATGGTGTAGGGTGGGGGCTGGTGCAGGGGAAGGGGGCTAGTGGCCTGATATAGGGAGGGGGCTGGTGCAGGGGCAGGTCATATAGAGGGCGGTAGGGCGGTGGTCGGGGGCAGCGGTGGTCGCGTTGGTTAATGGTCGAATTGGACTGGACATGGTCACTTGTTGGGTTGGTCACTGGTCAATTTGGTCATGGTAAATGGTCGGGTTGATCACTAGTTAGATTGGTCATGATTGTTGGTTGAGTTGGTCAATGGCCGGATTGGTCACGATCGGATTGATCACAGTCGAATTGATCACATTCAGATTGGTCACGGTTGGATTGGTCATTGGTCGGGTTTGGTCATTGGTCGGATTTGGTCACTGGTTGGTTTTGGTCTTTGGTCGGGTTTGGTCACTGGCCGAATTAGGCACTGGTCATTGGCAGGATTGGTCATGGTAGTTTAGTCTCATTTTTGGAATTATTTGAAAGTGGTCCTATTTTTGTCGTTGACATTTATTTTAGTTTTATTTTTGGAAAACCCCCTAAAATCACGTACCTTAACAAATGCGACAAGCTACGAAACTGTAGCTTCTGATGCAAAACATGCAATTACCAAACATACAATCATCCAATCATCCAACACGCTAGTCATTTATTGTAGCTTTTGATGTAAAACATACAATCATCCGATCCAAATTTCAATTCTGAAATTTTCTGCTTATTTTGTTCTCCATCAAGTCCACTAGCCAAGGTACACTTCTTTGATAAGTTAGAGAAAAGCTCATTGTATTGATGTTCATATCCTTAGAACACCTGACTCGTTCTTGAATTAATTAGAAGATCACTAGTCAGTCAGAAATTGATCGCAGAAGAGATTTTCCTTCACAATTTTGAAAAAAAAAAAGGTTGAAAATATTTTACGTTTGGTACAAATCATGTGTATAAAAAGAGGTTCAGAGCTAAATCTATTCTTAAATAAAAATAAAAAGGAGAAAGAGCATATGTGGGGAGAGTTTCATTAGTACTCTAACCTGCTGAACTTAACAATGTCATATTATTACGGATACCTGAATGTTTGAGCTTCCTTCCACTTCTAGATCACTGTTTAAAATTTTAAATGGCCAAATGTGCACCTAAGAGAAAACATAATCTAATTATGGATTGGACTCAACCTTAAAATACATCTTTTATCTTTATTAAGACTAATATAATATATAAAAAATTATCTTGTTTCATCATGAATATGTAAAAAATCATCTAATTAGTTGTATTCTCATGTATATACACACAGAAAGCATGCTTGAAACTAAATGTAAGCATTGTCATATACTCATATGAACACGTGAAACTCCTAGGCTGACCCCTTATCTCCAGCTAGTTTGTCGAGAGCCTATGTACACCTACGGCTTCACTCGGATCATGGCCTCCTCTTCCAAGGGAAAGGAAGAAAATTAGCATGACCCATATTTTCTTAGCTTAGTGCCCATTCACGCTAAAATCACTGTTATATGGTGTAGCAAGGCTGCTACCATTCAGAATCCATAATGGAAAAAAAGTTACGGACTATTGGAAAATCAACCAAGCGTCTTGTGTCATATTTCCAAACCGTGATGTTGGACATGTAGTCAAGGATGCATAAACAATTAAAGTAACTCAATCTGTGGCATATAAACACAACGTTGTGAATTTTGTTCTAACCAGAATAGAAAATGCCAACCAAAACAGTTCACCCTGATATGTTGTGGGCCCTTTTTGATACATGCATACCTCTATAAGACTTCCTAATGAAAGAGAAAAAGGACGTGAGTAGTATATTCTAGTGATCAAGCAAATAGTTTAGGGTGGGCATTGCAAAAGTATATGATTGGTTTGAAATATTTGGTGTTCAATTTTATTCTTTCAGAAATCGTAACAGTTAATCAGATATGAATAAAAATGGATGATAAATTAGGTGAAAAATATTACACCTTACCTCTAAAAGCCTCATTTCTGTAGCAATAACAAATGTAAGGTTTCCTGAAAACCAAACAATATTGATTTCAATTTATGAGACAACACCAATACAAAAATACTACAAGGAAGATATGGTAAATAAAGAACACATGATTGGTTTTTTGCACTAATGGATGCATGGATAAACAATATATTTTTTCTGAAAATATTATCCCAGGAGAAAGCATTAAATGTTTCCGTCAAACTGATGAAAAGTAAATATGCCTAGAAGATAATGCAATATGGGTAATATGTGAGCCACTATATGTAATTAGTCTGGCCAATGATTCACATAATCGCATGCCTTTATTTCGAGATAAAAGACTTAGTAAGATCGATAATGCTTAGTGTTTTACATATAAGAAAATAGAATAAGTTAATAAACCAAAATAAACAAGACAGTGATAAAGTATCAAAGAATGTCCTTAAAGAATCGTAGAAGAACTAACTGGCAAAATATTTTCATCTCAAGTTCAAAACAAATTGACAACTTCTCTGTCGTGTCGACGGGTGTCTATGAGATATGATTACAATTGATTCTATTATTCCCTCAAAGTTTCAAAGTTAATTCAAAACCATATAATGACCATGACAATATGCGCTAAAATAAGGTCATGCTAAAAGTTGTTCTTCGATATCACCAAAGAAGTTTGCTAGACGCGATTCTTTAATATCATCAAAAAATTGAAAAAGTTATACATAAAGTAATAATATGTTCAGGTAGATATAATTGACTAACAAATTATCACATGATAAAAAGAAGAATCAGCATGTGGAACATATAACTTTTTAGGCGAATAAGGTTTTGAATGAGTAGGAAGTGGGTCTCCATAGTAAGATGATAAAAATGAGTAATCCTATGAATCCCTTAAGTTACATACATAATGGAACTTTTTCACTTTCAGCTACAGATAAAACACAGAGTTATAGACACATTAAGATACTAGTTCTCTACACGCGCGTTGCGCGATTGAATAAAATGCCCAATGATATTTTGTTTGAAATATGTACATTATATCAACTTAAAATAGAGTATTTAATATTTCTTTATCATTAAAGAAATAAAATAGAAAAATGCAAAATCACGTAAGGCTAGCCCCTATTTTCCTACTTCCAAAAGAAAAGGTATCATTAACACTGTGAAAAATATCTAGTACATGTCTAAATATCGGTTGTTCACATTTAATCTAATATAAGACCCTCACATGATAATACACGAGATACAAATGAAAGGTACAATAAATAAAGATCAGGAAAAATATAAGGTTCACCAATATACCAAATAAATAATTTTATTGTGGAAAACAACTTGAAATAATACAAACTATCTTCACTAAATTACTTAAACAAAGATCTCAGACCCGCTCCTCAATTTAATTAAGATAACACCCTTCTATGTTAATTTGTATACTTATATTCTCTTGGTTTTTCATTTTATTTGCTTGTCACCATTTTATTTGCTTGTCACCATGTTTTCAAGTCACCATTTCAAATGATCCTATCATGTTTTCAAGTTTCTTCAACTTTACTTTCCCTTATTTTTTATATAATTTAATGCCCAAAAAAGTTACGTGTTTGGTGGAAAAGTTTGTTTATAAGTCTGACAATTAAGTCAGAAAACAAGGTTATCAAACGGGCTCTAAAAATTGTGTGTCAAAGAAGCCAATTTTCAGTATATACTTTTATTTGAAATATTGATTATGATAAGAAAATACGGTATGACCA